TTTTATTTTTATTTTTATTTTTTGTTGTTGTTGACAGATGTTTATTATGAATATTTGAAAAGTCATGATTTGATCAAAAATCCTTTTAATATGACCTCTCCTTTCCAAAATAAGCCAACTCCCTAGCCTGTAATTAGATATGCTTTATAATTTGAAAAGAAATTTCCATCCCAGCATTCTCACTCTCTTCTTTCACGTGATATTAACGCCAAATTGAACTCCATCTCAGGCCCTATGGGAGTTATCACACATATTGTGATAATAAGTTGCAATTGATGCAATTTTACCACACAAAGAAGACTCGGATGTCAAGCTTCAAGCCATAGCAGTCTCATCTCAAAACTAACATGTAAACAGAATGAGAGTGCAGCGGGAAGCACGAACAACTTAATCAATCAGTGCTATCCTCGTTTAATTCTCTTATAAGTGTCCCTGTTAAATAACATTCCCTCTCTGGTGCTCCTCACAATCTTGGATGATTAAAAAGCATTTGGATAATATCTGTAATAAAATTAAGCTCACTGAGTGATGAATACCACTGAGTTCTGGGGACCAAATGAGACAAAGTTTCCAACTGTCAAATTAAGTAGAGTAAGTTATAGGAAATTAAAAATGTGCTTCCCCAGAGATGCAATAGATACGCTCTATTGTCATTTTCTTTTCCTTATTTCATTTCTGAAGACAGATGCTGACAGCTGTTTGTGAACAGGCATTGAAAGGTGTCTTTGAAATAGAAGAGTAGAAAACAAATACAAATAGAATATGTATTCCTTTTTGTATTACATATTTCATTAAATATCAATTCCCAAGCTGCTTAAGCTAGAGTTAACATTATTTTTCTTTGTTGTGTATTTCTCTTGGCTTCAAAAAAAAACAGAATTTTATCATGTGGGCATTCACATTATTGAAATCAAAGTATTGAATAAATATGTTTGAATATGTTATATCCTGTTTTTCAAAAGTGTAGGCATTAATTTTCATTGGACTGTGCCCAGATTGCAGAAAGCTTCTTTAGATTCAAAATTCACAAAATTCATCTGGGACTTTGTTGGTAGGGCCAGAGTTTACATCAATCAAACATTTTGTTTTTCTTTAGCAGTACAAGAATAAGATAGGATCTAAATTACAAAATAATAATAATAATAATAATAATAATAATAATAGTAATGCAAGATTTAAAGAGATCTCACACAATTGTTCTTTGTTTATAATATACTGCCCTATGAGTATTTACAAAATAAATAGTAATAGTAATGCAAGATTTATAGAGATCTCACATAATTGTGTTCTGCTTTGTAATGTCATACTACCCTAGGAGCAGGGAGAAAAGAATCCTGAAGCCAAGGATCTCAATTCACGGTTCATGAGGAGATTTAATTTTAGAAAGGGTCATTTGCTTGAAGATTGGTCATGCAGGTCTGTCATAGAACAAATACATCTAATATCATGGAAAGAACACAATCTGGAAGTCAGACATATGCCTGTGTCTAATGCATTACATGTTAGTTAATTTTGAAGATGCTTAAAGGCAGATTCAAATCCCAGCATGACCATAGACTATCTTTCTGCATGTGACATTAGACAGGATGCCCAAACTCTCAAAGCTTCATTTTTTTTCTTTTGAAAAATAAGCAGGAAAATAATCCTACCCCATGGAGTTATTGTGAGGAGTAAATGAGCTAATGATCTTAGCACATCTAGGATAATCTCTGAATAGGCTCTCAACAGATACTATTCTTTCTTTCCATCCTCTTCTTGTTTTCTTTCATTCTTTAAAAATTTTCCTATGATGATTTAAATGGCAATGAAACTGCTGCGAGTATCCAAAAAAGTTAAAGATTATGGTATGTGATACAGCTTAATAGGGTCAAGGTTACAGTATAACGAATTGTGAAGCAACCCTATTACAACAGTGAGTGCAGGTAGGGAAAAGATCTAAATCAACTGCAATATATTTCCAGCTTTGGGACATAATTGTTTAGGACATATTACCATTGTGTGTGTTTGGTAAATATCTGCAGATTTCGTTGTTATTTATCTCCACTCAGTCTCCTTCCATCCAGACCCACAGTCCATCTGTCCCCAACTGTTTGGAGCCTAAAGGGATAGCTATTGAAATTGCCTCTGGCCTCATTATCGTCTTTTACAACTCAGCTTGGGAGGCAGATTTCATTTTGGCATTAGCAAAATAGACATTTGCTTACCAGGGATTGCCCAAAATATCTTTCCTACTGGTATTCCTAAGTATCAGTGTTTTTATTTTTGTCATTTAAAAAAATGCCAGTATTTCTGGGGAAAAATAAGAGTTTAATGTAGCAATTATATATTTTTCTTAGCATGTAGCAATTATATATTGTTTTCTTAGCATTAATTCATTTGTTCAAAATAGGGAAGTTCATTTGAAATAGATGGTGTTAGTGTAGAGAGGAGAGGTTTGGAACATGAGCCTTGAACTTATATGTGTGTGTGTGTGTGTGTGTGTGTGTATGCACGACTCATATTTATATATAATATGATCTGTGTGTCTATGTCCATATATATATATATATATATATATATATATATACATAACGATGTAAGGCTATATACGATATATAGTACCTATTTATCATCTCTCCATGTATTATAATGAATATGCAGGGAGACAACTTGTCCAAGGTCACGTATTAAGTGATCAACAAACAGAGGGTAAATTCCATCTCAAAACTGTTTGACTACAAAACCCAGACTTGAGATGGAATTGCTTTTTTTAAAAGGAAGTCTCTGCATAATTTTGATAGTTGATACATAAGATCTCTGTTTTCATAAAAGAGAGGAAGAAAAATAACAGGAATTTTAAAACACCCAGGTGTGGGAATTTCTTTTAAACTTTTAAAGACAAGCCAGGAGAAGGAAGCAGGCCACAGATGTTTATTATTTCCAGATACTGTTTACAAACTCACCAATCAAAAAGATTTTCACTTTGGAATGCTTTGGCACTGCATGGCAGGCTACATAAGACCAGCTAAATATTTTCTACTGAATGTTTTCTTTAAATGAATTGTTAGCTTTATATATCCAAACTGTCTCTATTTGTGGCTCTTCAACTGTTGATGAGCTGCAGAACATTTAAAATTTTTTTTTTCATTAAAAAAGAGAAAAGAAAATTCAAACAGCACTCAGAGAATATACAGCTGGACACATACAACAAAAGAGTTTGCAGTTACTACCCAGAAGAGGATGGTTCCAGGTAATGCATGTTGCCAATATAAGGGTTTATGGCAGATACTAGACCTACTGGTTTCATAAGATCTTACTAAAGTTTCAACTACATGTCAGAGAGCATTTTTGTTACCTAAACACACATACACAAAGCATGAAGACAGTGAAAGGGAAAAGAAAACTCTATTTTACTAGCATGACTTTTGAAAAATGCTAACTGGGTCAGTTCTTTATTTATTTTATTTTATTTTATTTTATTTTATTATTTTATTTTATTTTATTTTATTTTATTTTATTTTATTTTATTTTATATTAATTAATTAATTAAATGAAGTTGAAAATCTAATTAAATAATTAATTGATTAACCAGTTCTAGAGTTAGCCTTTGATGTGCATAAGAGGCACACTGAAAGATAATGAATCAGAAGTCCTGAAAGTACAGACCTGCTGCTTCCTGCAGGCCTCAGCTTACAGCCAGGCTCCATTCTTAGGGAAGGTTCTTAAAACTTCACGTCTCCACCAGCTACTCCAGACAGTGAGGCAGTTAAAAATTAAATGAGATAATCCCACAGAGGTCTTTGCACAGCATTTGACACTTATTGCTCAACAACATTTAATGGTGATGAAGGTGATGGTGGTGGTGATGATGATGATGATGATGATGGTAAGTTGTAGGTGATGGTGACCGATTGCAGTGACGGTGGAAGTAGTTGTAATCTAGCCCAGTGTCTTGGAAGATCGCTATCTTGTTGTTAAAGGAACCACAGTTTTATATTTCTTAATGCAAGAAAATTCAGGACTGATGTCCACCTACCATGTATTTTGTTATATCTGTCACTGTGTATGGCCATGAATGAAGATCAGAAAGGACTGGCCTTGGCCACGGAAACTGAACATATCCCAATTCCCAGTGCTTGAGTCACATATGTATTCTGATCAATTAGGGCCAATGGAGAGCAAGCACTGATAAAAGGAAAAGTGAAAGGTCAGAGTAGCATCAGAATGACTGAGCATACCATGAAAGTGGATGTGGAAATAAAGGTCTGTGGATATCTAAGTTGGGAATGGGGAAGGGGGGTGAATGCAGCTGGACTGTCCACTCTTGCTCCAGGCCTCACTGACCTGTCATGTGAGCTGTGAGTTCACACTCAGCATGCCATGGACCTTGGAAGGAGATTGTTGTTTTAGGTTTTCTTTCCTAGTGGCATCTTTGAAAATTAACATGACTGAAAAATTCTATGATTTGATTATTGTTGTGTGACTGTATCATTTAGGACTTGTTTATATTTACAATCCAACAGTGAGTTTAAAATTGTTGCTATTCTTATGTAAGTATTCATCATGGGAATGTATATTTTACTTAATTCTGAGTCTATTAGTAAAGTTTCCATCCATTCTGACTTTACAGAATTGTATTTTTACAGAATATCTTGATGAATTTAAGATTAGTCATGCTCCTTGAATGATTAAGTTGCTTCTTCATAATGGATTTAGAAAGATTGAGTTAACTACCTACAGTGTATCAGTATTATGTTAAGGATTTTACATTCATTTTGACTCTGGGAATTGCAGAAATCTTGGCACATGACCGCATCCACACCTCTGCATTAAGAGATGAACAAACGCCAGCCTGCCTTCTAGAAGCGTAAAGCTGTGTCCCTAGGATAACCTCAGGCTCACCTTAAATGCCTCCTTGAGAGCTCAGCACATGGAGGAGAATTGACTTTTTGTTGTAGCCAACACTGGAGGATAGGCCCTTGAGTTCTTATTTTTTAAGGCAATTACTAAAAAAGACATACAACTGTGAGTATGTATCGCTGTCTTTCCCAAAGATCTCGAAGCCGTTCCTTTGGAAAATAATCACGGGAGGAATAGGGCCCCTGTTTCCCAGTCTCTATGGGGAGAAGAAATCCTAACTTCCCTGATGGCTGACCAGCAGACATAGCGGGCTTAATTGCATTTACACTACCTAATCTTTTATAATTTTCACTTCTCTGACTCTCCTGAGCCCTTTCACCCCCTTCCTACTCTTTTATTCTCTTCCAAGTGTTCAAAGTGTTTTTTTGCCTTAAGAAAAATTAATAGCTTTATTTTTCCTCAATATACACTTAGAAAAATAGGTCTAAGAAAAGGTTTCATGAAATAGACCAGAGGACTATATACAAAGTGAAGAGTTCCAAATCAGCAAGGCAAAGTGAACGGAGGAAGCATTCTCCCCCCAGGGCCACGGCAGCATAGGACCGTCCTATCAGAGGCGAGGCAAGCTCTTGGATGGCTTTTGAGTTCAGCTGAGGAATTGTGCTGATCTTCAGGAGTTTGCTGCTTGCATACTTATTCTTGATGGCGATGAAAGAATGGAGCTCAGTAGTTTTCCCTAAGGTTGGCAGTTACTGAATGAAATCTTCTTATTCTTTTAATTAATGTCTGGCAAGGTTTAATCTTTGACTACTCTTAATACTTAAAAGAATTTTTTATGGCAGCTTTGCCATTTTATAGATGAAAAAGCAGAGGCTTAAAAAAATTGGTTATCTCAAAACCACCATATCTAGACTTTGGCAGAGCCATGGTTATAATCTAAGTTTGTGTTGGTCCCAAATTTTGTCTTTTTTTTTTTTCATTCTTCTGTAGCACACAGGCATTAAAATGCATCTTAAAGTGACAGTAGAGAAGATACATTTCCACTCCACCTATGCATTTAGTAACTGTCTGGGAAACCTCATATAAGTCCTCATCCCAGACATAATAAATAGCAAACAAAAATAAACAATCATTGACTTTATTTTATTTTTTTTTTAATTTTTTTTAAATTTATTTATGATAGTCACACAGAGACAGAGAGAGAGAGGCAGAGACACAGGCAGAGGGAGAAGCAGGCTCCATGCACCGGGAGCCCCACGTGGGATTCGATCCCGGGTCTCCAGGATCACGCCCTGGGCCAAAGGCAGGCGCCAAACCGCTGCGCCACCCAGGGATCCCAAACAATCATTGACTTTAAAAGAGTTTGTTTTCTGTCTAGGATTCAACAAGCCAAAAATTACAAGGTGGTATTTTCAATTATTCCGACTGGGGAAATTGATTTATTCAAAGTGACAAAATTTTGTGCTTGGGAAATGAGAAAAATCCAAAAAGAGCCATTAAAAAATTGTATTTGCTTTTGCTAATTAACCAAATATAGTGAGAGTTTAGAGTATTCATCACTTTTAGTCAAACTGTGAGTTTCCTGGCTCTAGTCAAACCTGAGTTTGATCTCCTTGAACCAATTTTTACTTCTCCTATCTTCCATCTGTTTAAATATCCTCAGCACATTTTCCACTCATCAAAAATAATCTTCGTAAAAATGCCACTTGTTTATTCCTTAAGGTGAATAAATCCCCATGCTTCTTTTTCCTGTGGAATCATTACTTCAAATGTTTTCTGAAATGTGTAAGGAAGCCTGTGTAAAACCCCTCCCTACACAGAATTTGAGGTATCAGCACAGTTCAGAGAGAATGAAGCAGATGCAGGAAAGACAATAGAAGAAGAGAACAAGGCACAGTCCAGAACTCTAGGATTATTGCCCATGTTTCTATCTTACTTCCCTGGAATGAATGAAATCCAAGCCTAGCCTTTCTCTTAAATAAGTCTATCTTATCCTATCCACCTCTCACTGGTACAATGTAACTTAAAATTACAGGGATAGTTTTATTAGTCATTTCAAAGCAATCTCAAATCAGAACACCCAGAACATTCCTCCTTAAAGACTTTACTAGTTCCATCCTGTGGTACCAATAAACTAATCACCCAACTATTAAGTAATACAATAAGGACAGTCAACTCTGATGGTTTAGCATTCATTACAAATCTGTCACGAAGAACTGCCTCAGACTTAGAAACAAATAGCTTAGTCCCATCTGGCTCTATTTTCCTCTACTGCAGAAACAATACAATTAACCTCATTCTTATTGTTTTACCTGTAATGATAAAAGCACTCTACATATTATGATTCCAAAACATGTGTTTAATTACTTAATTAGAGAATGGAGAACTGCAGTATTTAGTTAACAGCAAGGCAAAGAGAGAAAAAAGCAGAAGATGAGCATGTTCAGTGAAATATCCCCACATTGGTGTGAAATCGTTTACTGTCATCATTTAATGTCAAGAAAGTTTACTTCCATGAGAGAGAACCAAAAATTTGATTCCAGTTTGAAAAGGGGATTAAAAGGACTCCTGGAATTTTAAAGTATGAGTTAATGACCTATGGCTTATCTGAATTATCAGGTAAAATGCCTGGCACTCTAACCTCATAGTAAGGAAGTATTGAAGGTAAATGTAAAGTAAGATTTAAAAAGGAAGTAATAATCCCACACAGAAATACAAAACAATGTTTTCAGTTTAGTGGAGAATCAATTTACAGTAATTGCTCTGCATCATTTCTAAAGTGTGTAAATAACTGTTACTCCTTCGGAAGGGTATGAATACACTTGCTACTCTGAACATCCCCAGGGCAACAAGAAATCACTATTAGTTGGAGCTTGAAGGAGATGTGGTCTTTTAACCTCCACCTAGAAATCCTCAATCAAGTATGCATTTTAATAAGATAATCTGAATTCATAATTACGTTTAAGGAGCACTTGTGTGGACTTCTTTCTTCCCCACTTCTTTTGTTTGCAAAAAGGTGTAAAAAGTATTGCAAAACAGTTAAATGATGAACACTCTTGCACTAGGACATTACTTATATGTCATATGGCATGGCATTCATGACATTGATTTCTCTTCCCAGTGGAGGTCTATCATCAGCTTCAAAAGAAAACAGATTTTCTTTTTTCACTACAGAAGAACAGCAAATGCTATTACATAAATCACTAAGTTAAATGTTCATAAGGTAAATACTTCAGAGTAGATGAAAAGGTGTAACACCAGAAAAAGGAAAAAAATCCATTTAAAGTAAATTATTTATTTCACATTTTTTTTTTGGCCCAGAATATTTCTTGTACTTGTCATCACCTATTTGGATTTAATTTTTTTCCACCTTATATGAATCTTTTAGTAAATATTTAGCAAATAGGTATGTGCAAGAAGCTCTTGTGCTTTGTTTTTCTGAGGAATCATTCTCATTATTGAATGACAGTTTAGTTGAAATGTATTTTCTGTTGTCTATGAAGTACATTGCAATAGTCAAAAAAGCAACTTCTTTATTGTGTTTTTAGGAAAAAAAATGTTTTCCTTTTTTCTGATCCTTTTTTTAAACTCTCTTTTTGGACATTATTTTTGTAACCGTGATTTTAGTTTCAAATTTCAGGTTCTTTAATCGATCCTGAAAAATATCCAGTCATTATCTTATCAAATATTGCCTTTAATATGTAATAATAGGATATATTAGTTTCCTAGGATTTAGTTTAGGCTGAAGTTGAAAATCTTGTGCTGTCTTCTGTATTTATTTTTTTTTAATTTTTATTTATTTATGATAGTCACAGAGAGAAAGAGAGAGAGAGAGAGAGAGAGAGAGAGAGAGAGAGAGATTGGCAGAGACATAGGCAGAGGGAGGGAGAAGCAGGCTCCATGCACCGGGAGCCCGACGTGGGATTTGATCCCGGGTCTCCAGGATCGCGCCCTGGGCCAAAGGCAGGCGCTAAACGGCTGCACCACCCAGGGATCCCATGTCTTCTGTATTTATGACTTCTCTCCTGTGGTTTTTGACTTTGTAAGTTGAGAGTTGCATTTGGGGCTAATTTCCTCATATTTATCTTAAAGGTTACTAATCCTTTTCTAATTACACAAATATACAGTTTATTACATTATTTTTTCAAATATGCCTATTTTTTCAAAGTATGTATTCTTGTATATTTCCACTGTATATACACAAGTTTAATTCATTATTTCTGGTTATTGTATTAGCTTCTGATTTTGAAATGCTAATCATCCTCTCTGATTATAGCTCTTCACTCATTCATGATAAATCATTTCTTCATATTTTTTATTTTGACTGTGAGCTTATATCTAGTACATATTAAGCCCCTGGCACACCTGGGAAAATCAGGTCCTTGAGTTATGAATATGCCTTTTGGAGCATTTTTAAAGTTTTGTTTTTGCCAAGTGAGTCATGCTATACCTGGTCTAGAATAATTTTTATGTTAATATTTAAATTTTATAATTCATATACTGTATAAGTAAGGTAGATTTGAGCTTGAAGCCTCTTCAAGTATAGTTTCCTTGTCCATGAAAAGAAAAAAAGGGTTCTTTCCTGAAGAGAAGGTGAATGGTATGTTTTTTTTAGTCTCTCTTATCACCAGAGTCCTGGCAGAGAGTACGTGGTACATTTCTTTGAGATATCTGAGAAGAATTAATAAAGTATTGTTAGAAGATGTAGACAAGCTGTAGGGAAATCAAAACTTGGGATGCCTGGGTGGCTCAGCCATTGAGCATCTGCCTTTAACTCAGGGGGTGATCCCAGGTCTGGGGATCAAGTCCCACATCAGGCTCCCTGGGAGGAGCCTGCTTCTCTCTCTGCCTGTGTCTCTGCCAGTCTCTCTCTCATGAATAAATAAATAAATCTTAAGATACACAAAACTATGACCCCTCAGAGATGGTAATAGGAGAAAAGACTGAGTGACTGAAACTGAGTCTGAAGGAGTAAGAAGACAGAGCCATTCCTTAGAACCTGGAGGCTGGGGCAGCCCTGGGTGGCCCAAGGTTTAGCACCGCCTTCAGTCCAGGGCGTGATCCTGGAGACCCTGCATGGAGCCTGCTTCTCCTTCTGCCTGTGTCTCTGCCTCTTTCTCTCTCTGTGTCTCTCATGAATAAATAAATAAAATCTTAAAAAAAAAGCCTGGAGGCTGATAAAACTATTGGTTGGCCTCCCAACCGTATGTCAGGAAGTGCCTGTATGTGACAAGCTGAAAATAAGAAGCTAGGGAAGTAAATATTCAAACCTCACCTACCTTCTTTCATTTTCTCACTGTACTCC